TCTGTCACCTAGGCCAGAGTGCAGTGGTGTATTCATAGCTCACTGTACTATTTTAAGCACTTCCTATGTATGAATTCATTGAAGTCTAAGAAATCTATGAAAAATATACTATTCATAATCCCTCCCCCCCTTTTTTAGACGAGTTCTCACTATTTTGCCCAGTTTGGGTGCAAACTCATGATCCTCCTGTCTCTGCCTCCTGAGTAGCTAGTACTACAGGCACACTTGGCCATAATCCCATTTTATAAATGAGAAAACTGAAGCTCAGAGAACTAAAGTAACTTACCCATAATCACATGACCTGTAAGTGGCAGAACTGGAATTCAAGCCCTGGCCACCTGGCTTCAGAATTTATGTTCTTGATCACTGCATGTTTTATAGTCACATGGCCTATAAGTGGCAGAACTAGGATTCAAGCCCAGGCTGCCTGGCTTCAGAATTCATGCACTTGGATCATTGCATTTTTTATATCTTTCCAATCTCCATTATGGTAATGGTAAAAAAACAACAACTAATGACATTATTAATATTGATCAACAAGGAAGATGTAATTACCATCCTCACTTTACCAGTGAAGAAAGTTAGGCCCAGAAATATTAAGAAACTTGTTCCATATACAGAATGGAATATTACGCCGCCATAAAGAAGGACAAGCATATAAACTTTGCAGCAACTTGGATGGATTCAGAGTCGATCATACTCAGTGATCTATCACAGAAACAAAGAACAGAGTACCACATGTTCTCACTCATAAGCGAACCCTGAACATTTCCCTAATATATAAGAAAGGGATTGACAGTAGCGGGATATTGCCATGGGGTGGGGGAGCACAACATCAATAAGGGTATCTGATCTCAAACCAGGCAAAGTGGGGACCAAAGAGGGGCCCAAACTTTACCTGTACGAGGACCATTGTATACTTAACCCTCAATTGTACCCCACATCTTTACAATTAAAAATTAAAAAAGAAATTTGTCCCAAACAACACAGGTACTAAATGGGAGCCTAAAATTGAATCTTAGGAAGTCAGACTCCAGATACCATGGAATCAATCATTACTACAGTGGCTTCAAATCCAGCCATTTGCCTTTGTGCTCGGAAACATTCCTGCCTCTTCACATTCTTGTTTTATTTATTGCTTCTAGCCCACATACTCTTAAAGCCATCTGTAGGTTTTAATCTCTCTGAACAAGGGCACTGCCTCACCATGTTCTTCATCTTAACCATACAAAATAGAACTTTGTATTCACTGCTTAGTCATCCTTTTTGTATGCTTTGCTAATCTGAACAATTATAATACTATAAGAAAGGGATTGGCAGTAGTAGGAAACTGCGGGGGGTGGGGAGGACTGGAGTGGCACACTTCATCAGTAAGGGTGCCTGATCTCAAACCAGGGGAAGTGGAGACCAACGACCATTTGAATTCCTAACCCTGAATTGTACCCATCTTTAAAATAAAAAATAAAAACCAAAAAAAAAATTATCTAAATACAAGATGGAAACTTTGAAATTTTTTAAAAAAGAAAAGAAAAAAATTAGCTATTATTTTTTGAGCTTTTTCTATATGCCAGACCCTCTGCCAGGTGTTTTATTTGTATCATTCCAATTACTCCTCCAAAAAAGCCTGTGGACAGGTTTTTTAGATTATCTTCACAGTACAGATGAGGACACAGAGGCTCAGAAATCTTAAAACCTCCTCAACGTTACACAGCTCAGAGCTGTTGGATTCCAAAGTTCATACCCTTGACCATGAGACTGAACTGCCTCCACCTCTTAAATAGATCTGAATACATGTGACCGGTAATCCTATGAGGAAAAGAACATATGAGAACTGCCACCAGGTCCAGGGTCAGAAGGCCCTTCCTGGGCCTCGCTTCCTTTACTGGTAAAATGAAGATGATAATTACATCTTCCTTATTAATCAATATTTAATAATGTCATTTGTTAATTTTTTCATTATTATTATAAAAGAGAGAGAAAATGCAATGATTAAGAGCATGAATTCTGAAGTGTATCAGGTGGCTGTTTATAGCAAAGACCTAGAATGGCTGGCAAACAGCCTTATGCTATCCTGACAAGGTACTTTCATTATATTGTAACCCAGGGTCACACAGCTTTGTAGTTCAGAACTACCTATCACCTCCTCCAGATGTGATCAGGCCCTAAAGAAATGATTGATAGGAACTTACATACGGGGTGGGGGGGTGTGGGGGATGGTTGAAATCTTGAAGTATCTCAAATTACAGGGCAAATAACCCCACAGGAGAGACAAGGGTAGGAGACCTACTGACCAGACTCCCTCAAGCACTAAGCCAGGAAGTTGGAAGATCCTCCTTCCTCTGGGGTATTATCAGAAGATCCTGAAGACACCTACTGGGTCAGTAAATTATGGGCATCAGCCACTTTGTAACTGTGCATCCTTGGGAAACTGACTTAGCCTCTGTGAAACTGAGTCTTCTTAATCATGAAACATATCTACAATTAATTCCTGTCTCAAGGTATTATTGAAAAGATTAGAAATGCCTAGTGGATGACAATTTACTCATTTCAGATGGTTATTACTGTCCCCTATGTCTTATATAGACATGTGCCCGCCACCCGTACTGAAATATTCATGCTACTTATCCAAACACCCTTTCCTTAAAATATTACTGGAGAAAAATAATAATTCATTTTCATTTACTTTCCTAATATCACAGCAAAATATCATTCCTAATTTTGTAACTTGTTTTTTTGTCTGCTGTACTTTAGGCCAACGGCTTTCTGATGACATGTCCGTTTCCTAGGAAGCCTTCTCCAAGTCTTGCTGTAGGGCAAGTTCCATGGAACTTTCCTGTGGGGAAGCTACAGGCTTCTGTGGGATGAGGACTCTTATTTTAGCTTGTACCCCAGAAAATAGCACTTACAAACCCATCTCCAGAGTGGTAATTCAAATTATTTTAGGTACCTGTGTCTACCCTCTGAATACGGCACAATTTTCCCATCTCCACTGGCATTAAGGGGTGGGAGCAAACTGTCATCCTTAAAATAAAAAACAACAACAACAATCTCTGCAATGGATTTAGAGGCAAGTCTGAAAGATTAGAATTTCTAATCCTTTAGAAAATCTAATATAGAGAGAGAAGTAAAAGATACTAACATGCTTTATCTTATAAAGGCGAGAAACCAGCTATTCCTCACTGAAGAATATACCATGAAAATAATAAAAACTATTCTGCAGTATAAGGGATTAAGAAAAATGTCTGACAATCTTGTTAAATGGGAATATAAATTAAATTGGTATATTGTCACTCTCCTCTTTTGGAGACTTACAAGACATGATTTAGACACATCTACTGGGAACAGTTTGGTGCAGTCCTAGATGTGTCCTTGCCCAAGAGCTGACAGATGGATTGAATGACCTCTCAGCATCCCTTCTAGCCCACACTTCTGTTTTTCTATGATTGTAGGACTGGCGTGTTAGCTGAGTCAGATTGCCCTTGCAAGTCAGTGGTGGAGTCAGCAGCTTGAAAGAAAACAGGTAGACTCTGTCCCCAAAATAAAAGCCTCTCTACCCTGTTCTAGATTAAATTATACCACTAAAGGTAGATTTCCTGGAGTCACAGAGTATTTTTGGTCTTCTAAAGTTTCCTAACAGAATGCAGACACTGACACCTAAGAGAAAATAAAGTAACTAAGCCTTATCAGATAAGGTCTTAGCAGAGATCAGGTCCCTGCAACACCAGCACCACCAAGACTGCAGACGCAAGAAGAGAGAGACCCAAAGCAAACAGAGGGAGACAAAGACAGGACTGTGAAGACAAACTGTGCCTAAACTGAAATGTTGCTCCAAGCTCCTGCAGAATGTAGGGTTCTCCTCTCTCCCATCTGTGTCAAGTCATGCTTTTGATGAAGGCGCAATTCCTAGCAGGTGCAGATGTACTGGCCCAGGTACTGGAGATACCACAATAAGGGAAACAGATGTGGTTCCTGCTTTTCTGCAAAATACTGAACCTATAGAGAGCGTGTGGTGAATTATTACATGGTGGGAGTCTACACTCATGCAACAAGTAGTGATTGAATGTCTTATCTATATAAGGCACTGTTTCAGGTACTTGGGTAACCAAATGGATCAACTCTTTGCCCTTACAGAGCTTACATTCTGACAAAAGGAAGTTACATCATGAATGAAGCAGGGAGTGCTCTGAGAACTATGACAAGGAGACCAACCCTGGCAGCCAAGTCTCCTATGAAAGGGATGTTTCTATTGACATGTGAAGGCTAAGTAGGAATTGGAGAAAGGCATGTGTTGAGGCAGGAGCAGACACCTGAAGAGTGTTCCATTTAAAGTTGCCAAGCCGGGTTTGGTGGCTCAGCCTGTAATCCCGCATCTTTGGGAGGTTGAGGTGAGTGGATTGCCTGAGCCCACGGGTTCAAGACCCACCTGGGCAACTTGGCAAGACCTCATCTCTACAATAAATCAAAAATCAGTCGGGCGTGGTAGCACGCACCTGTAGTTCCAGCTATTTTGAAGGCTGAGGCAGAAGGATCACCGGAGCACCCAGTAGGTTGAGGCTGTGGTTGCCAGGAGCGGTCACTGCACTCCAGTCTGGGAGACAGAGTGAGACTCCAACTCAAAAATAAATAAATAAATAAAGTTGCCATATGCTGTCCAGCTACCACAAGTTGTTTTTGTAGTAGGTTGAAAGGTGATTTACAACTTTTTCTCTCATATGGTTAGTCAAATATTTGTACAATAAGTAATTTTAAGATAAAATCAAAATCATACTTAAAACTATTTTATCTCATTTTTACCTTGTGGCTTTAATATATTAATCTTCAAACTTTATAAGTAGTAGTTTGAAGACTAATATATTACTACATGTAAATTATGATAAAACTCTATACAGATCTAATTTGGATCCCAAATTCAAGATCAAATAGAAGCTTTACACTGATGATACAAGCATTGAGCTTAGTCCCAAAATATGTTTCGTGTTACTATATGCAAATATGATAACATGTTTGACATTGTGACATGGATTTTTCCCCCACCTACGTTGAATATGAATTATAGGTTGGTTCCTGCACTACAGGTGGACCTGTGGCAGCCCAGCAGTATCTCCTATGTATCAGAGGGAACAGTTACTGATGTCCATATTCTCCAGAATGGCTCCCAAGCCCTGTTAGCCTTCTTACAGGAAGCCAACATCCAGTACAAGTAAGCATTTCTTTTTACTTGCTATAAAACTCATTTGTACTAAGCTGAACTGAATGATGGTTATTCAGGTTATTTATCAAGTGCTTATGACAGTGTTTTAGGTAGAGTTTTTCATATTGAGAAAAGTAACCTGAATATATCCCCTTGAAGAGCTTATAAGACTAATGGTGAGTGAAAGTAATCACATGGACATATCATTTCACTGTCACCACTAAGTTATCAGTGTAAACATAGTTTTTTTTTTTTTAAGAAAGGAGTGAAGCCTAGTAAGACCTAGAGGGTGGATGGGAAGGCAGGTGCAGAGAAGCTTTTCTGCAGGCACTATGTCAGCCAGGTAAAGGATGAGATGCAGGACCTGGCAGGCAGAGGGAACTGTGTAAGCAAGGAAGAAGCAGTATAGGAGTTTGGTGTTGTTAGTGTACAAAGTGCATATCAGAGAGCATAAAGAAAAACCAGATTGTAGGAAGTCTTATGTGCAGGGGTAAGAGCTCACACCTTATCTTGTGGATGGTGCTGCCCTATTGCAAGGGAACTCCATGTCAGTGGGGTCGGGGAACAGTTTAAGAGACTGCAGCTATCATCCAGGTACGAGATAGTGAGGCCCTGAATTAGAACCAGAGTAGTGGAACCAGGAGAACATTCAAAAAATATTTCAGAAGTAAAACCACTAGACACCCTTCTTGGTTGGATGGTAAGTAGAAAAGGAAGACGTCAAAGGATGACTTCAAATTTTCTAACTTGGGTGGCTGAGTAAACATATTTGAACAATTTGGATATTTTGAGGGTTGTTTTTTTAAAGGACTGGTTAGTGCACTAAGAAGAAAGCAAGCAGAAAATAGCTACAAGAGTAGAAGAAGAAAAGAAAGATTTTTAGAGAGAAGGAATAGTCCAGGGTGTCAAGTCCTGCAGTGATATCTGGCAAGAAAAGGACTAACCAGTTTCCTTTGGATTTGGCAATTGAAAGGACATGAATCAGTCTCATGGGGTGGGGAGGGGGATTAGATTGCAAAATGAACAGGAAGTAAAAACACAAAGCAGCATACCACTGTTCAATTTAGAGAGAAGCAGAGAATGAGAAGTGACTATGAGAAGACACATCATCAATGACTGCTTGAAAGATATGGGATTGTTTGTGTAGGAAAAAATTTTGGCATGTCTGTAGGCTGAGAGGAAGAACCCATAGGGAGGGAGACACTGATGATGACAGAGAGTATGCACAGGTAGAGGAGTGGGTTTGAACAATAGGAAGGATACCTCATCCTCTGAGACTAAATGGGTAAATGTATGTCTACTTAAAAGTGTAGAGCCCAGGCTTGGTGGCTCAGCTTGTAATCCCAGCACTTTGGGAGGCCAAGGCACGTGGATTGCCTGAGCCCGTGAGTTTGAGACCAGCCCGTGGGTTCGAGACCAGGCATTGGAGAGACCTCGTCTCTACAATAGATTAAAAATTAGCCAGGCGTGGTAGCTTGCACCTGCAGTTCTGTCTACTTGGAAGGCTGAGATGGAAGGATCTCCAGAGCCCAGCGGGTCGATGCTGGGGTGGCCATGAACGTGCTACAGCACTCCAACCTGGGCGACAGAGTGAGACTCTAACTCAAAAAAAAAAAAAAAAATGAGTGTAGAGAAGAGAGATGACACATTGAAAAAAACCATAACCAATGATTAGGTTTTCTGGGTGAGGTAAGAAGCAAAATTATCTACTGAAAGTGAAGAAATGGAGGTCAAAGGCTGTTGCCAAGAGAAAAACTGGAGTAAGAACCAAGAAAAGTAGTGACTGTGAGAAAGAGAGATTATAGTACTGATTCAGAGTTGAGATTTTATTGGATAGGACCATGGAAAGGTCAGGGTGGTGAGGAAGTTGAGGGTTCCAAGTGAGATACTAGTTAAAGTATTTATCCATGGGTCTAATCTGGATGGGGAGGCAGGAGTATCTAGGAGGGAAGATGGGACAAAATGAAAGAATCATGAAGGTCTTTATATTGAAAGCAGATGCAGTATAAGCAAGGGCAATACATGGGAAGAAAGGAGTTTCTGGCAAAATGTGGATTGTTGGAAGCTAGGAGTTCTGGGGAAGAACATTAATGGCTGGTGATGAGATCCAAGGGGTAGCCATGGAGAAGACGGTTGAGTAGGAATGTTGGGTGGAGATCTTTGAGGCTGGTGCAGTCATGAGTAGGAGGGCAAAATTACCAGAGAGTCATCATGGCGGTCTTGGATCCCCTTGGCTGATGGCAAGATTAGAGGAGGAGGAAGAGAACATACTTCTAGGGCAGGAAACTTAAGGCAGGGCCAGGATTTTAGGAAAGCAACAAGGAGTAGCATGATGCAGGAGTTACAAGGTTCATGGGGAAGCAGAGACAGGGTCCAGGAGAATGCTGACCTTCCTCCCTTCTGGCTCCATGGTAGATGGTGGGCAGGAGGAGTGGATATAGAAAGTCACAAAAAGCCGGCTCGGTGG